TGTCTGCACTTTTTATCCGAATGAACACTTTATTATATGTCTATATTATATTAATCTCTATCATTGGCCATTGCTGTATACCATGAACCTATTCAAGATCTAGGTTTCGTCAGACTATGGAACAACATTATCCATATATCCCAAAGGCTAAATTGAATTTTTTTTTTCATGGAATATGAATCCAACGTGAGACAGATGTTTAAAGTCGCTTGCAAAGCTGTAGAAGGAAAAAGAAAAGCATCCTAGAAACTTGGAATTGAAGGAAACTGTGTCTACATCTTGTCACAAGAGACACAAGACTTCCGTTGAAATCAAATAATGTGATGTCAACATGATGCATAACCTTTGTAAGTTGTCATCTTCAACTATCTATATATATAACCTTTGAGCTGGAAGCTGTAGAGTTAGCAAAGGCAGGCCATTAGGGTGTTCGAATCGGCTTATGTACCTCGATTAATTCGTTCTTNTATGTAACTCGACTAATTCGTTCTTCAGTCTGGTCAAAAATAGATTATCTATATTGAGGTTAGGTTATTCATGAGAGTTAAATTTTTTTATGATTAATCTTTTTAAAATCATTGTTATTCTTGAACATATAATTGCGAACATATAATTCTTGAATATAACAATCTTTTTTTATTTTTCGACCATATAATTGATACGTTATAATTGACAATCTCAAGCCGATGCATTTGCTAACTATTTTATTTTTCCCATCGACACATTAATTTTATCTTTCCCATCGACACATTAATTATATTTTTTTCAATAATAATATGTTATTAGTTTCCCAAAACAAATTAATATTTTTTAATTAGCGTATATATAACACCCAAAACATGTAATTAACAATGAAGACATATAAAAATGATAAATCATACAACTCTATCATTTCTTATATTTAACTTTTTAAGTATATGAATTTTGACTTACTTGATTATAAAATCTGAACAATAAAGGCACACAAAAACAAATTTATTAATACAGTCATTGAGAAAAGTTCATTTAATTACACCTTTTCTACTTCTCCTTTCACATTTTGAATTAATTAGAAAAAAATTTACTGTTTTAAGGCATACAAAAAAAATAAGCAATCGAAGCTACGACATTGTATTTAACAGATAAAATAAAAAATATTTATGTATTTCATAACTTCTATCTTATGTAGGATTCACTCGCATATGAACTCTTACATGTCAATAGGGTTGATGCTTTGATAATAAAGGTATAACTTACTTTGATTTTAATTAAAGATATAAAAATAAAATTCCAACAAATGAAATTAAATATAAAACTACAAATAAAAATGCAATTTGTGTGATTGTGGAAATGATAAAATTGGAACAAAATAAAGCATTAATGGAGTTTAGGACTTCTTGTGAATAATTTACAAAAAGTATGACTTAAATTGTTTTAAGGTAAATAGAATAGGGCTTAATTGTTCTTTGGGAGAAAAAACATTAATAATTTTTCCTTTAAAAATTGAGTAATACAATTTGAATCTAAAAATTTAACTTAATTTTTTGACATAATGATGTGACTTCAGTGGAACTATTAGATCAACATCAAATTCCAATGTTTGATGGAGACCATAGACAATTCAAAGGTCATAGTAAGTTAGGTCAGTAAATTAGGTCTCAATAGCATTGCTCTTAAAAATTTTAGTATTTAGAGAGTGTTTCATCAATCTTTATATATACATCAAGTGCTCCTCAGGTGTGGCTATATTTTTGACCCTATTATAATATTAAATTAAATTATTAAGAGTATTTTCAACTTTGACTCAAATTTAAAATTTGATTTGATGCAAATCGTTCTAATTGAAAAACTCAATATTAAAACAAGACAAACTCAAATTTAAATGAGGATAAAATATAACAATTAGATTTTTAAAATAGAATGAAATCTAATTATTCCTAACGAATACTATAATTCCTGCATGAATGACATATCTTTGACCAGATCAGAGATAAGATTAGTCGATGTACGAATAAGTTGACCTATACACCTTTGACCGTTGAACACAAAACAAAAGAAATTATTATTATGTTTAATTTGAAAGTCTAATGCATTAGAACTATTCAATTGGTAATGGACCCTTATAATTGGGACCTAGTTAATTAATACAACTTTGATACAACATTAGGTTTCTTATTTAGATTGTAAATGAGGTCCAATAGCAATGCTCTCTCGGAGTTGTGTCATAATCACAGGAGTGTTGGTGTCTTCTAGTTTCTATATAACATGTCTAAAATTTTAAGTTGTTAAAAAAAGTGTAGCATAAAAAGTGCACCAGATGAGTTTTTATTCCAGTACAGGTGAAACGACCTTGTGGTGTATTTGTTGTTTGTGGTATTTNGCATAAAAAGTGCACCAGATGAGTTTTTATTCCAGTACAGGTGAAATGACCCTGTGGTGTATTTGTTGTTTGTGGTATTTTAAATATAGTAAAATCACTTATTAAAAATTTAATTTAAAATATATAATGCATAACAAAAGAGTAACGAGATAGAGCAAAATAGTTACACAGAATACAGAAACAATTAAAGAAGAATTAACGAAACAATTACAGTAGTTTAACCGAAACAGTTACACGTAACTGTTTGTTAAACAAATATAAATACTAACCTATTTGCATAATAGAATTTGAAGTAAATCAAGACTAGTATTTGACATTCTGTCCTTAATACAGATTTTACCCCCACACACGGTGCTTATGGAATATAAAACGTATGTCTCTCAAGATATAATGATTTTTACAAGAGTAAAAGTAGCACTCCAATTTACTTGTCCAGCGAACCAGAAACTATATTGTGTACTCTCCAAAATGCAGACTGTCTTAATGCCAAAATACAATGTAATAATGTCTGTCTTAATATCGAAAATGGACTGATGAATGAATAAAAATAGAATGGTAATGAGCCTGAGAATTTATGGACACTTTAGTGACTTTTTGGACAGCCATCATACTAAAAACACAACCCAAAAGACAAATGCAACAACCAGTAGACACCACTTGTGTAATTGTTTTGTACGAACAAACACAACTCAATTTTCGGACTAGAGGGAAACAAAAATTCGAACCAGTGCAATCCAATGGATACCAAAATTTAATTTCGAGTTAAGAAATTCACGCCCAATTAATTAAACGAATTTTCTCCAAAAAGATAAGGTTGGACCCACACCCGGCCGGGTCTAGTCGTGGCCGGCAGGCGGTGCACGTGTGTGGTAGAATTGAAGGCATGTAGGTGCTCATTCCACTCATAAAACTGTGGTACTCCTTAAGACCCAATCTCATAGAGCAAACTTGGTTTATATATACCCATGTATAATTTCTTCCTCAACTAATGTGAAATTGATGTCAAATTCCACATTGCACACTTTTATTTTCACATTTCAAGATGGTCACTTTAGAACCTATTTTCTCATTCATTTCTTACTCAATTTGACCAAGTGAATATACTACATTATTCTTCTCACAAAATAAAATATGAACCCAAGAAAGTTTACTCGAAAAAACGATCGGTTCCCATTTTAATTTAAGTNAGCAAGTGAATATACTACATTATTCTCCTCACAAAGTAAAATATAAACCCAAGAAAGTTTACTCGAAAAAACGATCGGTTCCCATTTTAATTTAAGTTCAAAGTCGACCAAAAGTTCAATTTTTACACTTAAGAAACTATTTTGTGTAACTATTTTGGTCCAACAGTATTGTTATATGGCAATGGAGTTTATTTCGCGGTATGACCAAGCCTTGGATTCTGGTCAAGGTGCTCTCCAGAAAAGTGCACCAGAACGTTGGGTTCCTTCAAGATCTAGATCTTTTAAGGTTAACTTTGATGGGGGAGTGTTTGACAGAGAGGGTGTTATTGGGGCTAAGGGAGGTTATTCGAGATGAAGTTGAGTCGTTCATTGCTAGATTGTCTAAGAAGTTAATTGGTTTAGGAGAAGCGTAAACTGTAGAATCTATGGCTGCAAGAGAAACTGTGTTTTTTGCTAGACAAATTGGGTGTGATGAGATTGTGTTGGAAGGAGATTCTTTTATAATCATGAAGAGGGTTGGCGATAATTCTGAAAATTCTTCTCCTATTGACACTATTATTGCAGATGTGTAACAGTTTCTTCGTCTATTTATTTTTTATTCTTTGTCCACTGTTAGATGATCAAGAAGTCGTGTGACTCACCAACTGGCTCAAAAGGCCAGATTAGATGAAAATATTAATGTTTGGGAAGAAATGACACCAGATTTTCTAATACCATCTCTTCTCTTAAATTTAACTTCTTAATAAAAATTTTATCGTTTCGATTTAAAAAAGAAAAAGAAAAAGTGTAGCATAAATATTCATATACTTAACAAACGCACACACTCACATATATATAAAGATGAAGAATTTGCAGCCCCGGGTTACCGCGAAACTTGTTAGGCACAAGGCTCACTGTAATTTAAGTTGTACGTGTTATGCACAAAGCACAGCCTAATATAAGTTCTTTTGAGTTTACTTGTTCCTGGTACAGAAAAAATCTACAGAAGAGAGCAACGCTACATGGACTTAAAAAGTAGACTTAAAAATTAGATTTGATAATTTCAATCATTGATTTCACTGTGGGTCTTAACATTTATTGGGACTCACTACCTATTTAATAGTTGAGATTATTAAGTCTAATTTTTAAGTTCATCTAACATTACTCTTACGTTAAAATCAAATTATGTGACGTTAACATGACATCATAATTTTTGTAAGTTGTCGTGTTAAAAACAAAAAACACATACCTAATACATGAGATCGTTATTGTAGAATCTAAGCATAATTAAATGTACACAATTTTACCTCTAAATATCATTTTCTAGTGTATATATATATAACCTTTGAGGTGGAAGCTGTAGAGCTAGCAAACTAAAAAACCTGGAGAGCAAGCTGCCAAGCATAGTGAAAAATGAGTTGTCGGCTTGATACTCTGACGATGAACTCGAAATCATCGACAGTACTTCCGTAGAGATGGACCTCCTCATGAGGAAGAAACCTGAGGAGCAAGGAGAGAGAAAAATGAGCAGCTGGGTGGTTGAGGTTGACGATAAACTCGAAATGATGGGCAATGCTTCTTCAAGTTCATCCCCCAAGAAACAATCTATCTACAGAGTACCAACCTTCATTGCAGATCCAAACAAGAAGGTGTACAGTCCTCATGCAGTCTCATTTGGCCCTTACCATCACGATGAGGTTCGTTTGAAACCAATGGAGTCTCACAAGGAGCGTTCTCTTCTTCATTTTCTTCAGAGAACTAAAGTTCCTCTAAAAACCATCTTCGATTCCTTCGCCCAAGTGGAACAAGAGTTGAAAGATTCATATGATTCACTTGATTCTAAGTGGCAAACTGACAACGAAGGCTTCTTGAAACTGATGATTGTTGATGGCTGTTTCATGCTGAAAATTTTTCAGGCAGTCACTAAAACTCCGGCCGATTATGACGCCGACGATCTGATTTTCGGCAATCACGGGAAGCTCTATATCATGCCGTTTATCAAGCGGGCATGTTGATGCTTGAAAATCAATTGCCCATCTTTGTTCTTGACAAGCTTCTAGATATCAGCGGTAAAAAGGTAAATCCAATTTTTTTTTTTTTTAAATACATGGAAAAAATGCGTCTCCTAAAATCAATTTTTTTAATCCATTAAACACACCATATTGAAAGAAGATCAATGGACTACATCATTTTTTTTTTGTGGAAAATAGTTATTGAAATTTTTGTTTGTCAAAGCATATACTATCATTATACTTCATGCTTAAGATTTATTTTTCTAGAAGCATGTCAAGAACAAACATGGGCACTTTACTAAAAAATTTTAATTTTTTTTAATCAATAAAAATAAAATAATATATTCAAATTTACTATATTGTATTCGATATTTAAAAATTCATAAAATACGAAAAGGTAAAACTTTGATAAATATAGTATAAATAAATAACAACAAACAAAACAGAGAGGCTAATTATATTCCTTCATAACAAATGAAGTAAACTGCATAAAAGATTCTATAGTATTTCTCCACATATACGATCAAACGATTAGTCAATGATCACTCATTTAATTAAGTAACTTAGTTGTCATAATCTCTATAATTTTTTTTTAATTGGAATTTCTATAGTTTTAAAAAAATGAGTTCGACGTGTAAAAAACTTATATAGATGTATCCCTAAAGTGTCCAAAGAATTCATAATTATTTAGGTACTAGGATTATACTGATTGATAGNTGAACCTCACCGTGATGGTAAGGCCCGAATGACACTGTTTGAGGTCTGTAGGCTTTGTGGTTTTGATCTGCAATGAAGGCTGGTACTCTGTAGATGCACCGTCGCCTAAGGTGGTCCATCTCTCTTGAATCATCCATCATGTATCTTGCTTCATCTTCAACCTGAATCTCCCATTCCTCCATTTTCTCTGTCCTTCAGGTTAATTTCTTGGCTTGCAAGCTAGCTAGCTCTGTACCCTTCCAACACCAAGTTTATAAAGATAGTGGATCAAAATCCAAGTAGCTTTACTCTTCTGAATAAAGGGTACAATGCAATCTAGATTTCCTACACTCCAACTCCTTACGCAGCGTTTGATACATGGTATTAGACCAAGGGAATCAAATTAATATTACTTGGTAATGCTCATTCATTTGTTTGGTTTGTGGTAATCAAAAATCATTCCCATTCCTAAAGAATAGCCGATCCCACAAAATGTGGGATTACCATTCCCAAATAAGACTGGGTATTACCCATTCCCAATGACTCGGTAATGAAACAAAATTCGTAACGACGAAAAATCTGACTATTCTCGATCACTCTGTGTCGGTTTCTCTTATCGTTGGCAGCTCCCCTCCAGACCCATGGCATTCCACCCCTTCCTTCATCCCCTCTTAGCTACTCGTCGTAAGACGACGAAGACCATCCTAGACTAGACGAGACGAGAACCGACTTTGGCCATCAATCTCAGGTTTTCTTACTCAAGTTAGTCAAAAATTGCATGTTTGTGTGTAGATTTTATTAGTTTAAATTATGATATGATTTATGCTGGGATTTGGTCAATTTGTTGGCGTTCTGGTGGAATTTGTACGTGTTCCTATTGTCTTAATCAATGAGTAATTGTGGTGCATATACAGTTAAATTTGTTTTTCATGCTTATACAGTTGACTTTGTTTGGAAAGTTATTGGGTGACCAAGCAAAATCAGTCGGATGTAGTTATGCCCCGCAACCTGTTCGATGATAATCCTAAATGAGAAAGAGTTGTTTTATAGAGGGTATTTGTTGGGTCCATTTTTATTTAATTCATGATGTGAATCACAAAGAACTCGTGGATGAGTTGTTTTCCTATCTCGATCATTGATGAGTTGTTGGGGTTGCTTGTTTTTGCATTAGAATTATGCACAGCTCTGTTTATTAGCACTTTAATTTGATATGAATGTAATTTACTAGACAAGTATGTGCTATATTTTTGGGGTTGTTTGTTTTTGCATTAGAATTATGTACATCTCTATTTATTAACACTTTAATTTGATTGTGTATTGACCTTATTTCAATAAAAATAGTTTGAAAAAATGGCATCTTCAAGTCAAGTGGAATCACGAGTTCCGGGTAAGAATAAGAGGAAGTGGACTGGTGATGAAGATGCTAAATTGATTGAGATCCTTTTGGAACTAGTTAACTCCGAAACACATTGCGCTGATGCAGCAGGTCTTGTGGTGAAAAATAATACACATGATGATCGTATTACCATAGTTGAAACATCCAATAAGTTATCAACATTTAGATTGAATTTAGCAAATAAAATATTTGATGAGTGGAGAGCAAGCAGACAAAGAGTGTAACTTTTTGTACCTATATTTGAGAATAGTTTCGTTTGCTGGAATTTTACCTCCAATGCTATTAAGATTAAATAAAGGGAATTTAAGAATATTTGTTTTTATTCAACTTGTTTTTGTTTTCTGTATAGACTTACTTTTCATCGATTTATTTTTTGATTCAACCTACATGTTCGGATGAGATTATTAGTTGTCTCGATAGGTTTTTTTTTTGGGTTGGCACATGTGCTTTATTGAGTTCATAAAGAACTATAATTGTTCATTTGAAATGAATGACCAATTTTGAATAGTATTTTATTTTGATTTCTTTTTGTGAACTTATTTTTGAAGGAATTTGTTTTCTAATTTTTTAAAATTTATAGTGGTTTAATTTTTTTCAATGGAGTCTCATTTTTTCTAATTATAAAATGTTTTACACAATTTTTAAAGGCAATCACACTCATAAAAAAAAATGTTATTAATTATTTTTAGTCACTTTGGATATTTTGCGCATTCTATTCCATTCCTAAGTTCATTCTATTCCAAAACTCATTTTATTACTATTGATAATAAAGGTATAACTTACTTTTATTTTAATTAAAGATACAAGAATAAAATTCCAACAAATGAAATTAAATATAAAATTACCAATAAAAGTGCAATTTGTGTGTTCATGGGAATGATAAAATTAAAACAAAACAAAGCATCAATGGAGTTTAGAAATTCTTATGAATAAATAATTGGAAGTATATTAATTAAAAAAAATAAATTTAAATTTAAAAGAAGATAAAATATGAGTAATAGATATTTAAAACATGATAAAATCTAATCATTCAAATGTTGCACTGGTGACTAAGCGATCGGACTCTTATTATGTCTGGCTCATATGATAATTCATTGGGTCCCACTTTTATTCACTTAAATTTCAAAGCTTGGATATCATGTCATCACCCAATCATTTGGCCATATTTATTATTTATTTATTTATTGTCAGTATAAGATTATCCTTTAAATATTGCCCTAAAAATCTTGCTTGGTCAGTATTACTGCATTTGAATCCCCCCCAAAAAAAAAGTATCGCTGCATTGTTTGTTCTTGTTTTTTGGTCTAATAATTGATTAATATTACCCTCATTTGCATAATTGATTAATACTAACCACAAGGTACGTAATTCAAGTGCTATCAGATATGAGTTATAAATTTAAACGTCATAAATTTTTTCTGTCGTAAATAGTGTCATAAACTCAAAAGAAATTTTTGTATTTGAGACAGTTGTTTTTCCTGTATCAAATAATATTTTTATAAATTCAATTTTTTTAAAATTTATGGTAGCTACTTTTCCTATCGTATATAATATTTCATAAAACATTAAAATGTTGTTTTAGATTAAACAAATATTTTATAATTTAAAGAAGAAAAACTCTAAAAGAATTTTGTATTGACCACAACTATTTTTCATGTTACAAGTAATATTTTATAAAATTACGTAGTTTAACATCAAAAGACAATTTCTAGTTCAAAGAAAAAAAAAATTAAACTCTATAAAGTCAAGTTTTTATATCAAAACTAGGGGTGCCAAAATATAACACGGCCCCGTTAACACGGCATAAAATTAGTGGAGTTGAGTCTTCTTTAAGCCACTTGTTTAATAAACGAGTGGACCAGTCACGATTCGATTATAAACGAATCAGGTATTGGTGAAACCAGTTAGAAAAAGTATAAACGATATGACTCGTTTATATACCATTTACATAATTGGATAAGCCGCTTAGAAAAATATTATGGGGTTTTCTGTTAATGTATATTCTAACTTCTTTTAGTTTTTTATTGTATATATGTATATAAATATTATTTCCATATTGTAACAATAATTTTATATTTTTTCCGATGCCCCTGAGAGAGTTGATGGTTCAGGAAGGATGTTCAACTTTTTGTATTAATTTCTTGTACTCATAGATTGTTATGTTTTATAAAAGTGCATATTTTACATTTTGTTTAACTTGTGAATAGTTTTTTTTTTGGATATGAAAATATTGCTATATTTTTTAAAATGTTGATTATATTTACTTTTGTGTTTATCTATATATTAAATTGGGTAGTTGTATGAATATAAATTAGTCTTTGGTCTAATGGTACTCTTTACATTGTGAAAGTTTTGTCTTCTTGAGATCAAGGATTCAAGTCCCCTTCTCCCTTTCCCACCAAAAAAAAAATTGTATGGAGTGTATATGTGCAAATGATATATAATATTAGTTACGAACGGTCTATAATAATTTTTTCTTTTTTTTTTGTGGCGGCATCGTTGCCGTCATAAATATATTTTCTATTTTTTACGACAGTCAAATATGATATTTGAGGCCGCACTTTTGTCGCTGTAATAAAAACAAAAGTGTCAGATTTTTTGTAACAACTTATTTACGATAGGATCTTGTCGCTGTAAATATTACTTAAAACAGACCGTTGCTGATGTAAAAATCTTTTGAGACCACGTTTATTATGGCGAGACAATGCTGCTACAAAAAAATATCTGTCACTGCAAATAAATTTTTTGTAACAGTAATTTTTTTTCTTATAGCGAGAATAGAGCAAGCTTTCCTCTGAAACTGAAAGACATTCTTGATTCCTTCGCCCAAGTGGAAGAAGAGTTGAAAGATTCATATGATTCACTTGATCCTAAGTGGCAAAGTGACTCAAGTGACAAAGAAGGGTTCTTGAATGTGATGATTATTGATGGCTGTTTCATGCTGGAAATTTTCCGGGCAGCCATTAAAACTCCGGACGATTATCACTCCGACGATCCAATTTTCGGCAATCACGGGGAGCTCAATATCATGCCGTTTATCAAGAGGGACATGTTGATGCTGGAAAATCAACTGCCCATGCTTGTTCTTGACAAGCTTCTGGCAATTAGTAAGGTAAATCCAGTTTTTTGTTTGTTAATTTCTTTTTCATATACATATATATATATACACACACTTACGATAATAGGATAGTTTTGAAAGTTTTCCAAATTAAATTGCTTTCTTGTGCATCCATGGTGGTACTGTTCAATCATATGTATATGAATCACAATGAACACATAGGTTTTAATAGGCTAATAGTAATCCCATATAAAGTTATTCGCATTGTATGCTAATATACCATTATTGCATTCCAATAAAAAAAAAATACTACGCAATAACTCAATGCACACCCAAGGGATAGGCTAACACTCTAAAACCGACATTGGTCTCAAAGTATAGGACATTACACGCTAGACCTTAAAAAGAAAACATGATAAACATAAATTTGAAAAACATGATAAAGTTCATACTATAGAAAAAGATATGCTTATGAATTATTTAATATATAAAGATAAGGATAATAAATTTTTTTTTTTGAAAAGATAAAATGTATTAAAATAAAGCAAGTATACACGGATAATCACCCACAAATGAACATGATAAAGTTCCTTGTGTGTCTTAATACTTAATTTCCATGTGAAATGTTTTGGAAGAACATGTGAAGTTCGCGTGCAAAACTTTCGTTTGATTTGGTTAGAGCTTAGCTTTGGTGAAGATGCAAATTAATTAACATCACCTCAAATATTCATGTAGAATGGTGACGAGTCCATCAACGAGTTGATCCATAAGTTCTGTAATCCCGACTCTCGTGACATTCCTCCACCGACGGGAAAATGCTTGCACGTACTTGATATGTTTCGGAAAAGCCTGTTCATGAAACCTTCCGTCACCATCTCCATGACCGGCATGGGCATTGGAACCGTTACCGGCACCGGCATGGATACTGGAACTGTCACTAGAATCGGTACCGCCATGGCTACTGGAACTGGTACCGGTACCAGCACTGGCACTGGCAGCGGTGCTAGCAAACAAGATAGAAGCACAGGGCTACGGAAATAAAAAAAAATTAGAGCATAAAATAAAAAGTCAGAGCATCAAAGACATCTCATTTGAAGGAGGAGTAACGAGCCTCCCCACCTCCGTAATCGACATTTTTGAACATGATAGCTTTTGAACACTGCCATGTCGGCGCCGGCCTTGAGGTGACCTCATATATCCGGTTCGTGGACAACCTCATCGACACCTCTTCTGACGTCAGGTTTCTTCAGTCCAAAAGGATCGTTCAAAATTTCATCGGAAGTGACAAAGGTGCAGCGAATCTGTTCAACACAAGCTCTAAGAACTTGACGATAGATCCGGCGAGTAAGCTGGGTTGGTGAATTTGGCGATGAGTCGGTACTACGAAAAGCAGCGGAACAGGTGGCGAGCCAATCTGATACATACTTACTTCCCCAATCCATGGACTCTTATCTCCGTGGTGGCCGCCGGTGTTCTTTTTGATCTCACCAAAGCTCAGACTGCCTACGGCACATTGCAATACTACCAAGGCTAAGGGTGAGAAGTGAGGATTATTACCCACGCACACTTTAATTTATTGAACTAATAAATCACTGTTATCGCTTGAGTTAGTGCTTGTTTTTGGACCAAAATTTTTCAGTTTATGTTAAATTTTGGTGGAATAAAAATTTTAAGTGTTTTAAATCAATTTGATACTCGTTTTAAATTTTGGTTCTAAATTGCGTAAATGTTATACATCGTGGTTCAATCATATTGTCCAATTTGTTAGTAATATTGCATTACACAAAATTGTAAGTCCCTCCCAAAAAGTTCTTACGTACGAGGAAAAGAACAATGTGACGTAGAGTTAAAAAAATAGATTTAATAATTATAACAATTGATTGTATTATAGATCTTAGTACTTATTTGGATTTATTATTTATTCAATGATTATAATTATGAAATTTATTTTTTAAATTTATGTAATATTACTCATTAGGGCTAATTAATGTCTCTCTCTCATACAGAGACAATTACTTTTGAGTTGATATAATCCTAATAAAAAAGTAATTAATATTGTTGAATCATGTTAACTAACAACATTGATATGTCAAAATATTGAATTATCCTTCCGAAAACAACAACAAGATCCGAACAACATGGCCATCCTAAAGTTAATTATGTGCATCTTAAAGTTAATTTTATTTTTGGTTTAATAGTTAGGGATGTCTAAACTAACTTATGTGCACCTTAATGCTCCGTTTGATACGATAAAAAAGTGAGAGAATAGAAAGTTAGAAGGATAAATAAAACATCATATTTGCTAAGGAAGGAAAGTAGAAAAGATAGAAAAGTTGATGGATTAACTTTCCTTCCATCTCACCAAAATCAATCCCTTCAAAATCGGAAGGAAAGTGGATAGAAAATTAATTATTTGTGTTGAGATATATCTTATTTGTTTATATATCTTTTTATATATACATATATTATGTATACATTAATTTCATATAAAAATATAATGGTAAAATATGTATATATATATATATATATATATATATATTAAAAAATTTAAAAATAAAATAAAAAAATAAAAATAAAAATTTTAAATGAAAAAAAAAATATTTTTTCCATCTTAACTAAGGGTGAAAATTTTCGACTCAACACGATGACACAACTCGAACTCGATACGATAATAAACATGTCAACTAGCAATTCGACACGACAAAATTATTTAAATGAGTTAAGTTAGGTTTGATTAATATTTGACACAAACCCGTAATGACTTAACACGACTTTGACACGGCACGACTCGATTGTCACCTTTAATCTTAACCAGCTCAAAAAAAAATAGTTATTTTTATTTTTTATCCATCCAATCAAACACAAAGGAAGAAAAGTGTATCCTTCCTACTTTCTATCCTTGAAGGATATAAAGTGTATCCATTCTACTTTTCATCCTCTCTATCAAATGNTATATCCTTGAAGGATATAAAGTGTATCCCTTCTACTTTTCATCCTCTTTACCAAACGGAACATAACTTCTCTAATTCAATCAAAGACAGACTATCCACGTTAAGACTAAAATATTTATGAGGGATAAATTTCTCATGGTCTGACTCCATGGAATTGTCAAGATTCAAATTTAAAACATTTAAATTTACATTTCATCATTATTATCATTTGAACTACTCCTAGAATTAAAGTTAATTAGGTTTATTCTAAGAGCAAAATCATGTCTATGAATTATTCTTATGATGGTTGTTTAATTTCTCCAAGACTGACTTAGTATAGCCATGCCCTCCCAAAATTGCTTGAAACCTTCTACTCTTTGATCGGCATAAATCTTCTACTCCAAAACATGCAAAATGCATAGAAGCATCCCCCGGGGCGTGGGTTGTTCATGTCCTTCGTGAAATTTGACTTTTAAAATAATCTAACAATAAATTGATAGTGAATTATAATGCTTTTGAGACTTCTTATTAATCCAGTAACCATGACAGATTAGTTTATTAAATTAGGTCTAACTACTATTATTATAAATAAAAATAATAAGAAAATCGTGCATTTATTTGTCTTTTGATGTTGCAACTTAATGATGTCCTAACTCCATATTATAGGGTATATTTGATGATTTTTGAGAAGCTTAACAAATAAATAATAGAGTTTTTTTAAAACGAAGTAAATTAGTTAGATTAAAATAATACATAAATAATTTAATTTTGATAAAACAAATCATTATAGTTAGTTTTCTTGTCAAGAAAATATCTAATTTTTAATTTTTCTAGTCTAATATTTTGTACAAATCGTTGTAGACTTAAGAATTTTTTATGACGGAGAAGACATTCTGTATCCATTTCTTCTATAAATAGAGGTGATCTCCACTTATACCAATATACACACTTCGCAATGTAATATGAGAATGAGTAATGCTAGATGGACTTAAAAATTAGATTTGATAATCTCAACCATTAAATAAGTAGTGAGCCACAATAAATGTTGGGACCTATAGTGAAATTAATGGTTAAGATTATCAAGTCTAGTTTTTAAATTTACTTTTTAAGTTCGTGTAGCATTAATACAGTGNTATATATATATATATATATATATATATTAAAAAATTTAAAAATAAAATAAAAAAATAAAAATAAAAATTTTAAATTGAAAAAAAAATATTTTTTCCATCTTAACTAAGGGTGAAAATTTTCGACTCAACACGATGACACAACTCGAACTCGATACGATAATAAACATGTCAACTAGCAATTCGACACGACAAAATTATTTAAATGAGTTAAGTTAGGTTTGATTAATATTTGACACAAACCCGTAATGACTTAACACGACTTTGACACGGCACGACTCGATTGTCACCTTTAATCTTAACCAGCTCAAAAAAAAAATAGTTATTTTTATTTTTTATCCATCCAACCAAACACAAAGGAAGGAAAGTGTATCCTTCCTACTTTATATCCTTGAAGGATATAAAGTGTATCCCTTCTACTTTTCATCCTCTTTACCAAACGGAACATAACTTCTCTAATTCAATCAAAGACAGACTATCCACGTTAAGACTAAAATATTTATGAGGGATAAATTTCTCATGGTCTGACTCCATGGAATTGTCAAGATTCAAATTTAAAACATTTAAATTTACATTTCATCATTATTATCATTTGAACTACTCCTAGAATTAAAGTTAATTAGGTTTATTCTAACAGCAAAATCATGTCTATGAATTATTCTTATGATGGTTGTTTAATTTCTCCAAGACTGACTTAGTATAGCCATGCCCTCCCAAAATTGCTTGAAACCTTCTACTCTTTGATCGGCATAAATCTTCTACTCCAAAACATGCAAAATGCATAGAAGCATCCCCCGGGGCGTGGGTTGTTCATGTCCTTCGTGAAATTTGACTTTTAAAATAATCTAACAATAAATTGATAGTGAATTATAATGCTTTTGAGACTTCTTATTAATCCAGTAACCATGACAGATTAGTTTATTAAATTAGGTCTAACTACTATTATTATAAATAAAAATAATAAGAAAATCGTGCATTTATTTGTCTTTTGATGTTGCAACTTAATGATGTCCTAACTCCATATTATAGGGTATATTTGATGATTTTTGAGAAGCTTAACAAATAAATAATAGAGTTTTTTTAAAACGAAGTAAATTAGTTAGATTAAAATAATACATAAATAATTTAATTTTGATAAAACAAATCATTATAGTTAGTTTTCTTGTCAAGAAAATATCTAATTTTTAATTTTTCTAGTCTAATATTTTGTACAAATCGTTGTAGACTTAAGAATTTTTTATGGCGGAGAAGACATTCTGTATCCATTTCTTCTATAAATAGAGGTGATCTCCACTTATACCAATATACACACTTCGCAATGTAATATGAGAATGAGTAATGCTAGATGGACTTAAAAATTAGATTTGATAATCTCAACCATTAAATAAGTAGTGGGCCACAATAAATGTTGGGACCTATAGTGAAATCAATGGTTAAGATTATGAAGTCTAATTTTTAAATTTACTTTTTAAGTTCGTGTAACATTAATATAGTGGAAGTCCGGTACAGTTGTATCAATGGATAAAGGCTTGAATAGGCTAAACCATGTAAATTTGTGTGTTCCTTTGTCTTATTCCATCTCAATTTACAATCTTTGCCAATCTAAAATATAACACTAGACCACACCAATACAACAGCAAAAAAAAAAAAAAACAATGACAATATTCAAGTTTTTATTTATTTATTTCCAATCCCCTTGGTGTACTAGGGTGAAAGTTGCTTGCTTCACCTATGTGCCCAAATTCCTTAAAGAGAAAACATGGCTACTGAAATGAAGCAACATTCATCTCTACTTTGACAAGTCATATTATTCATGATGCCATGGCTACTACATACATATTAATCAACCATTTTTCACCAAAATCATCTTACAAACAAGTATAGACGACTGTGAGAGGAAAATGGGACGGTAATTATAATATTTAGTAAGGGACATGGGAGAGAACGGAGTTCTCGGCTTCTTGCTGCCTTGGTAGTATTGCAGAGCGCTGTATACTGCTTGAATTATGGTGAGACCCAAAACAACGCCGGCGTAGATGACAGAAATAAGAGTCCATGGGGTGGAGAAGTATTTTTCAATGAGATTAGTGAACGCGACTTTACAACTGTTCTGACACTTGTTTTGCCACGTCCCTCAGTACCAATTGACATCATCAAGAATACGTGCTAGGCGATTTGATGCGTCGAGTGTCAAGTTTTTGGATGTGGTGTCGAATAGGTCAGCCGCATCTTGGACACTCCCAAAAGTTATACGAATGACCCCTTGGGATCCCTGGACGTTGATGTCCCCAGCGCGGTGAATTAGGTTGCTCATGAAGCGTACAAATGTTGTCATGTCACTGCCTGCTCCAACATGGCAACGTTCAAAAGCTATCATGTTTAGAAATGTTGATTCAGTGTTCTCATCTATAATGAATATGGGGAGACGTAGGACCCCTCCTTCGAATGAGATGTTATGGTGGTCATAGTTAAAG